TTGCTATTTCTGTGATATAACCAGTACAACTTTTAGTTTCAAATATAATTTGCTTTTATGTGACAGAAATATATATTGTGTTTTCAAATTAGGCTTAATATTCTAAGAAAACCTGTCAAGATGGTATTCTTGAATTCAAAACATTTTCATTTTAATACATAAACAAGAGTTGAAAATTTGCTGAAGCTTTAATTGTTCTAGAGCCATTTAAAGAAAGTTGCTTGTTGGTGATTGTGGCCTTAAAAGTAATACTGCTTTCAGTTAGTTGGCCATAGCCCAACACTGGGCTCTACCGAGCTCCATCTGGTGTCAGTGGGAGTTGATATTTGAAGAGCCCTATCAAGTGCCAAAAGATGAAATTGAAGATGTGGAAAGAATCTTGTAATGTCATTCCACTTCACTGATAGCATTACTTTTCTCAAAATCTGGCAGTGTCCCTTGGTTGTCTCAACTTCATTATGCATCTTTGTCAAAGGATATATAACAGGATTGCATGGAGTTTAGGTATAGAACCTCGCTTTCTTCAACACAAAGTTTCCTCTTCCCTAATGCAAAATTGACTAGAAATATATCTGTACATAATATTAGGATACAATCACAGGCTTCAGGGAGTTTCTCATATAAATAAGGCAAGGTAAATAAGGCACGAGCATGGAAAATTGAAATAATGCTTTTAGAAGAAATTCAAAAAAGGTAATGAGGCATTAAGTGGTTATTTGGTTACTATTAATAATAAAACTAATTCAAAGGTTCTCAAATAGTGAGCTGTAATTCAAAGGAAGTAAATAACTCATTATGAACTGGGAATATTGAAAAAGTGTTCATGGAGAAGGATTTATTTAAGGACATTGGCTTGAACTACAAGACGAGGAAGGAGACACCTTTCTAAGTAGAATAGCAGTTCAAAGAACAGTTTGTCCATTAACTCCAACGTGAATCATGTAATTTTAAGAAATTTGTCAAGCTAATGGAGAAACCAACTTAAGTTCATTATAGATTTTTAGCTTGAGGTTAATGAAACTCATGTGATAGTTTTTTTTAATTCATTCCCTAAAATTTACCTTTGGCCCTATATGAGATTATAAACAAGGTATCTTAGAAATAGTGCTGTCAGCTTCTCATCTTTTGTAACAGCTTCCTTTCCAGAGGCAATCAACTTTTTTATGGACATGTCTAATACTAAAAAAGTTTTCTTAAGTTTCATCAGTGTATTAGTTCTAGATTAGCTAATTCTAGATCAGCCTCACTTCAAACTAGGAAACAGTAATGACCAAATCTACATTTGACTCTATAACAGATAAGAAGCAAATTTAGAGCCAAGTACAGTAGCTCAAGCCTGTAACCCTAGCTATTTGAGAGGTAGAGATTGGGGTATCACAGTTCATTTGTGAGATACCATCTTAAGCAGTGGCTAGGTAAGTTGCTGTCATCTCAAATTATGGGGAAACACAATGACCAAGTACAGGGGCATGTGCCTGTCATCCCCACAAGGAGTAGCATGAATAGGAGGGTCATAGTGTAGTTTGGCCCATGAATAAAGTGAGATCCTATCCTAATGAATGCAAAAGGGAGCTGGCAGAGTGGTTTAAACAGTAAGAATACCCACCTACCACACACAAAGCCCTAAATTCAAATTCCAGTACTGTAAAAAAAAAAAGCATACTTAAGTATTCATTGATAGTATATGATATATTGGTTTCAAAAGAAGGAGCGATTTAATAAGTACCCTCGTATTTAAGAAAAGCTGTAGATTGAATCAATTGTAGTTATTCTACCACAGGTGAAATTGGGAAGTGAGCAAAATTGGGAGGTTGCCAAGTTCTGTTGGTATATGAACACCAGGTTCATACTTTTGGGTATCCTAGCTAGACATCATCCACTTCAAGGTGTCCTAGAGGTATCTAATTTAGCCCTACCAGATACCCCTTTTGTAATTGTAGCATATTATGGCCTGCCATCCTTGTTGCCATTAGGATGTTCTTAGCAGATTGTTTTTTTCAGATTTTTTTTTTTTTATCGTTTTTTTCTTCTGCTGGTCCTGAGGCTTGAACTTAGGGCCTGGGTGCTGTCCCTGAGCTTTTTTGCTCAATGCTAGTGCTCTACCACTTAAGCCGCATTTCTTCTTCTGGCTTTTTGGCAGTTGATTGGAACACAATCTCAGGTGCTTTCCTGCCCAGACTAACTTTGAATTGTTATCTTCAGATCTCAGCCTCTTGCGTAGCTCAGATTACAGGTGTGAGCATCTAGTGCCTGGCTATTCTTATGTTTGTATACTCTAACAATCTCTTGAGTTTTTCCCTCTGTAATTGACAGTTTAACTGCTAGGAGCACTGGAAAATATTTTTAAAATCTGGGAATTGCCTTAGTTTTTTTTATATCTTCAGTATACTTGATCACTTTTAGAAGCACTTGTGTTGCATGGTAGTTGCACAAATTTTGGGGTTATTATGGTAGTGTCATTAGCTGTGACCTAAGGGAACAAGTGAACAATTTCCAAAATTAGTTATTTTATATTCTAGTACAATATAATTTGGTGTTCTTGTTAGGTAACAGTTTCTTTTCAGTAATCAAGTTAGACATTGTTAAATTATGTTTAATTGGTTCATTTTGTGCAAAATTTTAACAGAAAATATAATTTTTTATATTTAAATCTGAAATGAATTTGATTTATATTTGCTTGCTAATTAATTTATACCTTTCTGGAGTGAGAGTTTTATTTTCACTCTTCTGAATCTGAAAAAAGATGCCACATTTTTAAAGCTGGTATTGGAACCTCAATTGGAATTATATAGTTTTTCAAGATTAACAGAGTACATTTTAAGTCTTTAGTGTGTGTAGTGTGTGTGTGTGTGTGTGTGTGTGTGCGCGTGCATGTGTGCATGCTGATTCTGAGGTTTGAACTTAGACCCTGAACCCATTTCTGAGTTGTTTTTTTTTTTTTTTGCCTGAGCTGCCTTTGAACTGTGATCCTCAGATCTCAGCCTCCTGAGTAGCTAGGATTACAGGCGTGAATCACCGGTCCCTGGCTGGAAAAGCCTTCTTTACTTTTTTTTTTTTTTTTTTTGTCAGTCATGGGGCTTGAACTCTGAGCCTGGGCGCTGTCCCTCAGCTCAAGGCAAGCGCTCTACCACTTGAGCTACAGCGCCACTTCCCATTTCTGAGTTTTTTATTCAAGGCTTTCACTCTACCCCTTGAATCAAAACAGCTCCACTTTCGGGTGTGTGGTGTATAATTAGAAGAGTCATGGACTCTCTTGCCTGGACTGGCTTCAAATTGTGATCATTAGATTCCAGCCTCCTGATTAGCTAGGATTACAGGTACAAGCCACCAATCCCAGCTTTATTTAACTCTTTACAACTAAGATTTTGATAGCTGAGTTTGACAAGTGACTACTAACATTTCTAAGAACTAAGAACTAATGAGAAAATGAATATGGTAATTAAATTGAAGTAAAGGAAAAATGTTATTTTTGCATTGCATCTGTAAGACTGTTTTAATCACAGTGAGAGAAATTTTCTAGATGAGAATAATACTTTAAACTGTTTATGTTGTTCAATATTCCTCCAAGTTTATGTGTCTTATCTCAGTAACCTAAATAATTTTATTTACATTTGTGTGCCTTCCCCCCGCCCCCTACTTATGCATAGTTCATCTGTCTGTATCTTGGAAATACAAGGGAGACAAGATTTTTTTGCCCTCTCAGGTCTATCATTTAAGCATTGATCGGTAAGCAAGTAAGAATAATGTAGTTGAGTGTAATTGGTAGAATTTAGATAGATTCATATATAAATAAAAACTTAGAGTTTCAAAAAGTAGCTGGTTCCATTTGCCTACTCTATTCAGCCAGGCTTTAGAGGATAGGTGATACTTGAGTCTGGTCTTTTTTTTTTTTAATTGTGAAAAGGGGTTACAATTACATGGGCAAGATAATGAGTACATTTCTTATCAAGCATTGTAGCCTCCTCCTTTGTTTCCCCTTCCCATCACTTCCCATCCTCCTCCTGCCCCCCCCCCACCCAATCCTCCCTGCTCCCCCTCCCCCCCCACCAAAGTTGTAAAGTTTGTTTTCCACATAACGACTTGTACATCTCATTGTTGCAATGGGAGTCTAGTCTTTAACAAGTGAAAAAAATCTCTATAAAGATGAGAAAGCAAAAAGTAGGCAGAGAGTAGCATGAGAAAAGGTGTAAATGTAGAAGACATGAGTATAAGGTGGGAAGATACTAAGAAATGAGGTCAGAGGGGCTCAAGGAATCTTGTAGGCTTGAACTTTATCCTAATAGTAAAAAGGCATGGGTGTCTATCTTGCAAGAAGTAGATATTGTCAGATTTTAAAAATTGTTAGTATACCTAAAACAAGCAAACAAAAAAGAATCAATAAGCCCATAGCAGTTGGGTTTATCATAAGAGTATTTTAAATAAAATAAATATTATATAGTTCACTCCATTAACAGAGTAAGAGTAATAATCAGCATAATAAATGTAGGAGAAACATTTGACACAATCAGTATTATTCATGATTCAAAACAGTTATTTAGTTTTGGATTATTTGATCTGTGAGTTGTTGAATATCCATACATTTTAGATTCTTTAATCCTCTTAGGAGATATATTAACATTCTAGAACAAAAGCCTCTTCATGTAAGCAATGGTTTTATTAGAATAATTGTGATGTTACTGTTAATTCATTGTGTGGCACATTACTTTGAAATTAAATGTTTGAAAAATAAAAAAACAAGTTACTGCTGGATGTGCCATTGAGTGCCTGTAATCCCAACACTCAGGAAGTCAAAGCAAGAATGGGAATTTGAGGCCAATTTGGGCTAAGAAATGAAAAGAAAAAGCCTTTTTTTCTGTATATTGATATTCTATTCATTCAAAACAAAACAGTTTTTGATTCCGTTAATTAGGTAATTCCATTTTTGTTGTTAAATTTAAGAGTCTCACTATGTACTGTTTCAAAATGAATAAGGTTAATTTTTTTTTGTTTGTGTTTTACAGGTGAACTGGCGTAGAGATCAGTCTCAAGATGCCATTAGTGAAAAGAAACATTGATCCTCGGCACTTGTGCCACACAGCACTGCCTCGAGGCATTAAAAATGAACTCGAATGTGTAACCAATATCTCATTGGCAAACATAATTAGACAACTAAGTAGCCTAAGTAAGTATTTTATATCAATCCCCAAACTATAGTATTTTATCTCAATCCCCAAACTATAGTATTTTATATCAATCCCCAAACTATAATGTATATAATTACATAATCTATAATTAATTTGGGAGGATAATTTGCTATAAAGACTATATCCTCAAAACATTTATTTTAAATATATTAATGAGTTTTAGGGTGATTCCTTTTGTTTTTTTTTTGTTTGTTTCTGGGCAAAGAAAATAACAACCTTTAAGAATAGAATCACCTGATGTTTGAGAATTACTGAGGTAGTTTTAAAAATATAATTTGATCTATGTAAGGTAGAACCAGAATAGTACTTTTGCTTGGCTGGTAATCTCTATTACTGTCTATAGAGGCTTCAATTATTTGGTATTGACACTAGTATCTCTTGTAAAATGTATTTTATTAGTGTAGGCAAATATTTTCATGTCATCAGAGATTTAAAGTGGAAGGTGTGAGGTCATCACTAGTCAGAGCATTACACTAGTTGAGTAAGTTTTGCGTAATGGACATGAGAATGTGAGTTAGGGGTCTTAATAATATAGTACAATGTGGAAAGAGAATGTAGACTTGACTGCTGACAGAAAGAAGCAGATTAGCCAGATGCCATCAGAAAGTGCAGAGAGGAGACTTTATAAGAGTACAGTCCTTGGTAAAGAATTAAATTATTTTTAAGCTGGGCGCTGGTGGCTCACGCCTGTAATCCTAGCTACTCAGGAGGCTGAGATCTGAGGATCACGGTTCAAAGTCAGCCTGGGCAGGAAAGTCTGTTAGACTCTTATCACCAATAAACCACTAGAATACCAGAAGTGGCGCTGTGGCTCAAGCAGTAGAGCGCTCTCCTTGAGGTGAAGAGCTGAGGGCTAATGCCCAAGCCCAGAGTTCAAGCCCCATGACTGACCAAAAAAAAAAAAAAGAATTAAATTATTTTTCATTCTAAATGTAATCAGGTAAGGAATTTTAAACAGTAAATCTGATCTGTCTTCAAAATTGAGGGGCTAGCTTTTAGTCAGACAACTGTATTTCATTTTAAAGGTAAAAACAATGTGTTCTTACACTAAATATTTTCCAGCTGGTACTACTACTATCCTGTCAGCCATACTCATCAATATAGGTTCTCTAATAGTCGTTGGGTTTTTCTTTTCCTTTTATTTAACTTGTTCTTCCTTTCTGTAAGTGAGTATAGTCATTCCTTGTGGCGGGTTAGTTTCAGGAATATTTTGGGATACAATATCTACAAATACTCAAGTTCCTTAGATAATAGGGCATAACATTTGCATATTACTTAAGTACATCCTGCCAGGTACTGCACTTTAAATCAACTTTAGATTGCTTATAACACTTAATATACTAGAGGTATTATTTAAGTAGTTCTTATGCTTTATTATTTAGGGAATAATAAATAGGGGGAGACCTGTACGTGTTCAGTACACAAGCAACTTTTTTCTAAATTGCTGTCTAAAATTGAATCTGTAGATATAAAACCTATGGGTACAAGATCAGTAAGGGCTAAATCTATGCAGCACAGGATAAGTCTGTTTTGGGTATCGAAGTCTGACCATCTGTCCTGGAGGGATAGCAATATTGGAAGTTACATAGATGATGATCCTCTGCGTGTCATGGAATTACATCCAAATAACTGTCATAAGTTGAATTTACCATGTTGAAATGCATTACCAAACATCATAGCTTAACCACACAGAATACTATAGAGTATCAGTTGTTTCCCCTTAGGATCACATGGCATACTGAAAGCTTTGGCTTGCTGCTACTTCCCAGCATTATGAGAGAGCCATTGGACCATGTATTGCTATCCCAGGAAGACTGATGTTCAGAATTTTCCAGTATGATTTCTACTGAACCCTTGTCACATTTATATAATTGTAAAGCTAAGAAAAATTGTCAAGTTGAATCATCATGAACTGAAGAATATTTACCACTGCAGTCATACCACCAGCTCTCAGGAGTCTCTGGCTCCTGTGAGATCAGTAAATTTTTGCACTGCCTATGAAATACTTGTAAAAATAAATATTGTCTGCATTTGTTTTAATTATTATCCTTATTTCTGTTGGTGGTTATTTCAGATTAGTTCCTGGCAATCACTAAAATATTGCATTGCTGATTTGTTTCTTCCTTAGAACAGCTAATATAAAATGTTCCTTAAGATGAGTCAAAAAAGTGTTATAATGTATTAACTATATTGTTTAAAGAAATTTTTGGACTTTTTTGTCATCTTAAACTGATTGACCTAGTGTAATAAGACTCCTTATAAATATTTTTTTGTTGTTGTTTGTTTTTCTCTGTTGTGGGCTTGAACCCCAGGCATGGACACTGTCTCTGAGCTCTTTTGCTCAAGGCTGGCACTCTTACCACTTGAGCTATAGCACCACTTCCACTTTTCTGGTGATTAATTGGAGATATGAGTCTCATGGACTTTCCTGGTCAAGCTGGCTTTGAACCACCATCCACAAACCTCAGCCTCCTGAGATTAGGCATGAGCCAGCAGCATCTAGCAAATCTTTTTTTTATATATACACGACTGCATCAGTATATTCATACCAAGACTTATGTTAACAGCATGGAAATAACAGTAACTTTGGACAAAACATTCATTAAATGTATAATGAATTTTGAATCTAATATAGCCATCTTGTTTTAGAAACATGCCCAATATAGAATTTAGAATTAACATGATTAAGTATGATAATTTGCATACCAACATTTCTTAGGTAACATAGATGAAAATGTAAGGATTTCTTGAGTCTGATAGAGTCCATATAAGCATCATCTGTCTAGTAAGCACATAGTCACATAGCTACCAAATTCTGGATATAAATATAGTACAAAAGTATGACTAAATTCGATTTGAGTTGTTTCACATCAGAATTAGAGACTTTATAGACATTTTCTAAACAGTTCATAGAAATTTAGAATCAAAGAGAATATTATAGCAAGATATAGGCACAGTTTATTACACTGAGATTAACTTTTCTGGCAGTTTTCCCACTTGACATAGTTGAGAACTTGGAATTAAGTTTAAAAGGCCTCTTCATAGCTAGAATAAATAATCCCCCACACTAAAGAGCCATGTACATAAAATAAACAGGAGATCTCTGACTCAGGGCCTATTTACTTTTACTTTGGTGGTTCAGATAGATTTGATTAAATGATTTGTAAATGTGCTTCAGAGAACTTAAAAGAGAAATAAGAGGGAGACTAAGTAAAAGGCAGCATCACTGAAAATAGGTAGCTTACAGCAAAGAAAAATTGAAGAGGCATGAGGCTATTTAATGTAAGAGCAAATAGTTACACATTTCAAGGCTGTTTTCTAGACTAGGATAAAAAAAAACAAAAAAAATTGATTTTCCTAATTAATTCATGGCAATGAATCCTCAAGAACAGGCTAAATTGTATTTGAATTTGTATTCATTTTATTTAAGAAGACAGGAAAATTTAGAATTTATTTCACTATTGTTTTATCTGGAATAATTAAGATAATCGTTGATAACATTTAATAACCTTGTATTATTTAGAAACCCAATTTTTAAAATCTAAAATGGTTCTCAATAATTGAGGTTTTCACTTTATTACTAGCACCAAAACTGCTTGAGAACACAGTAATAATAAACTGGGTTTACAGGGTTCCATGTGACATAGAAACTAATAGCTGCCTGGCTTCCTCTGGAAAGTATATGCCCAGTCATATTTTATTAGAATTTTTTTCCTTCTAGAATAAAATTCTTTGTAATAGGTAATTAGTAAAAAAAAAAAAAAAACCTATGAAATACTTCTAAATTTCTTTACCATTTTATAGTTGTTTTTATTTAGAATCTCTGATGTCCTAAAGAATCTTTTACATTCTCTTTCTTTGTTTTTCTTACCGAATATAGTTGATCCATACTGCCGGGAAGAGCTGATAAAAATCACAAACATAATTTAGAACATAGAAATTTTTGTTAGTCCATTTTCTGTTGCTACAGCAACATATCTGGAACTGTATACTTATATAGAAAATAAGCATATTTGACTTGCAGTGTTGAAGGCTGGATATCCAAGATTGATTAGCCTTATCTTATCAGCCTCTGAGGAGGCCACTTGTGACTGGGATACAACATGATGAGGAAGCAAAAAGGGAATGGAAGCACTTGTGTACATAAAAGGCTAAGAGTATGTTAGCTTGACTTTCTCATAACCCACTCTCTTGAGAACTAATCACTCTGTGAGAACAGTATTAATCCCTTCTGAGAATGATGTACTAGCCCTAAGTTTAGATCTTACCACCATTGACACTACACCAAAGACTAAGCTTCACTAAGCTTTATATAAACCATAGCATTATAGATAAATAGCAAGCTAGAAAGAGAGTAAGAAGATGGATAGGGAAATTTTTACTAGACACATAGAAAAGTAGATAATGGACTTAACACTATACTATATGATTAAGGCACATGTTTTTTGTCCCAAAATAATCTATCTCATTTAGTCAAAGAATCTCAAATATGGTAAGTAGAGAAAATATTCTGAACATTATGGTCATTATGGTCATTCATATATTAACATGAACATTCTAGCATGAATTTTAGATAATAATAATTGGTTTAAGGAATATTCATAGATGAAATCATTAGGGAAAGTCTGTTGAATGAAATGTGACTTGAATTGGGAAAAATAGGAAAGAAAGTCAACATGTATGACTTAGACAAATGGAGGCAAAAATAAATGAATACATATTAAAAGGGGGAGAGGCTAAAGAAATAAGTGATAGACTGAGATGGCTCAAGTCTAGGAAGTGCTAGGCCCTAAGTTCAGTGCAAGATGAGGGCAGGAGGACATATATACAGAGGAGAAAAAAGATGATGTAGGACCTAGTCTACTAGGTGAGAGGGTTTACATGCAGCTTCATGGAAAGGGAAACACTGTAGGTTCTTAAGAAGTAGCACAATACATTTCAGGATAGTTGACATTCAGATATGTACATAGTGTTTCACATTGCAGACTTCATTCTCACTTCTCTGAGAGGGAAGAGAGCTAGATTGGAAAAGTAAGAATGGAAAAAGAAATGAGAAAAAGAAAAGAGAAATGGATGAGATGTTACACACTAATGTGCTTTGATGTTTTAACTTGTGTCTGTCATAAACTTCTGAAAGGTTTTTGAAAAGCTATAGACCTTCAACAAAAATGCAAATACACTTATCAGGTATGTAACACAAACTATATTAAAGTAAGCACTTGGAGAGATAATATTGTCTCTTCCATCTCTATAGCTCAAGCATTTTGTACCCATATGTATTCACTAAGTGGAACCTACCTTTTGTTTTCTAGGGAAAGTCAGTACTAAGTCATGCTTGAAAGATAGGTACTTCTGTCTCTGTCCTGTTGCTCTTACCTGATACTCTTAAGAGCCACTTGATTTTTGAACTCCTAGTCTGGATGAGGTACAGGGTCTCTGTGTCTTCTTAAAACTTCTTTTGGGGATTGGAAATTAATTCTTATTTGTTAGTGGTACTAATTTCTCATAGTAAATGGAACAAAGATTTGGACTTTTATTAAATTGCTTTCATGTTTTTTTAGTGTTTATTTCTCTTTGTTTAAAACTCCTAGTTTGGCTTAGTCTTTTGAGTTACAGGGTTTTACATGACTAGAAACATTCAAGAGTTTTAGAATTTTTTAATGATTTTTTTTTAGAAAAAAATTAGAAGACAAATATCTCTTTTTCAGTTTTCTGAATCTTCGTTTAAGCATATCTGAGACAAGGCATCGATTGGTCTATGAAGAATCTTATATTCTATCACCTAGACTAAAATTCAGTTCTAATATAGAATCAATGCAAACAGTCCTGATTTAGGATTAAAAGATGTGTTGCTTGTATGTACTTTTTTTTTTTTTTTTTGCTGGTCTTAGGGCTTGACCTCAAAGCCTGAGTGCTATCCCTGAGTCTCTATGTGCTCAAGGCTAATGCTCTAACACTTGAGCTACAGGGTCACTTCTGGCTTTTTCTGAGTAGTTTATTAGAGATGAAGAGTCTCAGGGACTTTCCTGCCTGGGATGGCTTCCAACTGTGAGCCTCAGATCTCAGCCTCCAGAGTAGCTAGCATTACAGGCATGAGATACTATCACCCCGCTGTTTGTATGTATTTTGCCATCATAATTTTCTCTAACCCTTAGCAGGTAGAGAGATATGGATGTCAAGTTTAATAATTACATTTTAAACACAAATCATCAGCACAAAGTCCTGTTCCCAGAGTTTGTATTTTCTTCCCTCATTCTCACAGCTGAATGACTGACCTTAAGGGTAAAATTTAAAGTTTAAGATTGTCCCAAATTAATGACAGATTAAACAGGATGGCATTTTTAAATGTTAAAAGTGTTATAAATATATATGATCATGACTACATTACATTTTATATGATATATGTCTTATTTTTGCTTAGGTAAATATGCTGAAGATATATTTGGAGAATTATTCAATGAAGCACATAGTTTTTCCTTTAGAGTTAATTCATTACAAGAACGCGTGGACCGTTTATCTGTTAGTGTTACACAGCTTGACCCTAAAGAAGAAGAATGTAAGTTTATTTGTATATTTTATTCCACATATGTATTTTAAGATAAATGAGACATGTATGAATTTATTGTACAAATTTTTACCCACGTTCTTTGATGCATATACTATAGTAAATCAGTTATCTATAATTACCATCAATATGACTTTCTTATCCTCTCAGTTCTTTTTAGAGTCTCTTTGTTTTGTACACTACTTAATTTTTTTTTTTGGTTGATTGTGGGCTTGAACTCAACCTGAGTGCTGTCCCTGAGTGCTTAAGGCTAGTGCTCTACCACATTGAGCCAAGTGCACTACTTTTGGTTTTCTGATGGTTACTTGGAGATAAAAGTCTCATGGACTTTTTTGCCACTCAGGCTTCAAACCATGATCCTGAGATCTCAGCCTCCTGAGTAGCTAGGATTATAGGCACGAACCACTGGGTGCCTGGCAGGCACCACTACTTAATTTTTTGACAAAGAAGGTATTTTAATAGGAGTCTTTCTTCAGTGCTTTTTCTCTTTGTTCATAACATTTATTGCTGATTACAAGCTAACAAGAAGGAATCAGGGAGTTAATATACAAAAGATTACAGAAGAAAATAGGAAGAGAACCATAAGCTGGTAGAAGCCATGAATAGCAGGTAAAGAAGAAAAAAGTATATATTTATTGGGAAAAATAGATATGCTTCCATTATCATTAAGGCCTTCCGAGTCTTAAAATCAAAATTGGTCTCCAAAAAATAGGGAAAAATATTATGATAGAATATGTAAAATGATTTCTGATTTATAATTAACTTTTAAGCAATCTTGACTTTTAAGCAAATGCATACTATGAATTCATCTTTGAAGTTAAATAATCTTAGAAAACTAAAATGAGTTTTTGATTTTTGTTTTAGTGTCTTTACAAGATATAACAATGAGGAAAGCTTTCCGAAGTTCCACAATTCAAGATCAGCAGCTTTTCGACCGCAAGACTTTGCCAATTCCATTACAGGAGACATATGATGTCTGTGAGCAACCTCCACCTCTCAATATACTCACTCCATATAGGTCAGTAAAGTAATAAGTAAGGAGCCCCGCTATTTATCTCAGAGTTCAAATTTGCAGGTTAAAGTCCCTTCCCCCCATGCTTCATTTCATTGAGTCTGGTCAACACAGAGAGCCCTTCCTACCCACTACCTTCAGATATTCTTTGCTTCACTCACTTGGTGAGTTTCTAAGGTTCTAGCATATGATTCAGGACACATTCACAGAAGTTGTTTTGACATGGACTGAGAAAAGCTACTTGTAAACCTATTAATATGAAAGGCCAACGAATTGTTATTCTTTCAGTTTATTTTAGATCAAAGGAGAAATAAAAGAGCTCAAAATTCTACTCAGCTAAAATTAATCATTTTTAAATTTTTTATATGTTGTATATGTAGTATCTTTTAAAAATGCTTTATACTACTCAAAATGAAATACAGAATTATTCAGCCCTTCTTTAAGGTTCTTTCACATGATTTGTTAAATAGGCAGTTTAGATGCATAATACATAGCCTGAGCTATTGCTATTACATTCAAATAGCATTTGAAACTATAAATCAGTATGCAGGACATTGGATATATATTTTATTATTAGAATGACTACCAAGAGATACTGAGAGTTAATAAGTAATAAATTAGAAGAGTGACAGAAAATTGTAAGTTTTTCTGTTCTACATGATATGACTGTGTTTCTCTTTGGCAGATCTATAATTATTGAGATCTCTTGAAGGACTTAGAAAGTTTGGTATTCAATAGAAATTAGGCATTAAAGATGCACAGCTATCCTTTAAATTATTAGTACCAACTCTGGAAAGCATACTTTTTTGAATAAGGAATTTTGTTTTACTACAGTATTCTGTTTTGACATTTATTTATTCACTTATTTATTTAGAGGCATGATCTCACTTGGTAGCTCAGGGTGGCCTAATAATCACCTGCCTCAGCTTCCTAAGTGCTGTGATTACAGGCTTAAACCAACATGGTCAGTTGGCAATATTTTAGTATGCTACATTTTATTTCTATGAAAGGGAAAATATTCAAGTAAAACTATTTCTATTCTGATTACTTCTGTATCACTACATATATTTTAATTGCTATGTTTTATTTCAGAGATGATGGTAAAGAAGGCTTGAAGTTTTATACCAACCCTTCATATTTCTTTGATCTATGGAAAGAAAAAATGTTGCAAGATACAGAGGATAAGAGGAAGGAAAAGAGAAAGCAGAAGGTATTACGACAGATTAAAAAGTGGATTTTATCATTTATGTGTGTTATATGTATAAAACTTTGTCAGTCCTCTACTTTGACAATCATTCTATTGTATCAACATACTGAAGGTTTTATAACTATACAAATCTGTCACAGGGAACATGTAAGCAGTTAGGTTATTATACTGTGATATGATAAGTATCATATAGAAGTGTAGATGGAGGGTTTGTATAGAACAAAATAGCATCAGCTTGGTTAAAGAATGAACAGGAATTAAGTGAAGCAAGTAAGAGAAGGCAATGAATCAAAGGAGTATTATGAAGAGCATATACAGTAAATAAAGTATGCTAATATTTTCTTGTCATAGAACATCTCTGAAATGTTTTGGAGAGGTTATTATATTTTCACTAAATTTCTGTTATCTGCTATGTTTTATTTTCTACTTTCAGCCACAGTTCACTTTACTCTTTCTTAGTTCGTATTAGGAATAACAGTAAACATAGAAGGAAGAGAAACAAGTTAGGCAGAATTATGGAGACAGAGTATGACTTTACCAGTTTTCTATTTCTTTATAGATACTTCTGCTTTTCCTAACCCATAATGCCTTCTTGTGCTAGACAGTATCCCTGTGTTCTAGCTTGAGTTTGTAAGCTACACAGTGCCTGATCTAGATGGGTTTTTATCTGCCAAACTGAAGTTTTATAATTTTTCCACTGAACTTCCATATGTACAGGTATCTATCTAGTTGACTGCATGCTCTGTCTTACACCTGATTAGCTTCATATGTTATTTGCTTGGCCCACTTGGACATTTGATATTTATTATACATACTCTACTTTTTTATGATTTCTTCTTTAATTTTAGTCACTTTTGTTCTGTTGTTAAAAATACTGTTTTCTGTTGGCTATTTTGGGTTAATTGGGTAATTAAATTTTTATTTTGTTATGTGCCAGACAGCTAATTTGCCCACTTCCCAGAAAAGACAACTTTGGTAATTGTTTGCATTTTGGTTAGGGGTGGACAATGCTAGTCATGGTAGAGATTTCAAACTGAAAGATGGGGATGAGGGGATGATGAATTGTTGTTTTTCATCTAAAAGGACTTTCTGATTTCAAATTTTATTACTTAAGCATACTATTTTGTATCTAGTGCAGCAGTTCAGAATTAGGGCTTAAAAAGAAAAACATAGCAAGAATCCACTATTGCAGCAAACTGGTAAGATTTATCTGTGAATGTACAAGTGAAATGCCTCTGTCACTTTTACTGTGTTATGATGAATTTTTTTTTTGTTTTTTTCAATATTGAATTTTGTTTTGATTGTTGTAACCTCTTAAAAAAAATTAGCACTTCAGCATTTGGCTTTGTTTCAATACATCTGTTATAGCAGAAAAATCTAGATCGTCCTCATGAACCAGAAAAAGTGCCAAGAGCACCTCATGACAGGCGGAGAGAATGGCAGAAGCTGGCCCAGGGTCCAGAGCTGGCTGAAGATGATGCTAATCTCTTACACAAGCATATTGAAGTTGCTAATGGCCCAGCTTCTCATTTTGAAACAAGGTTTCTTTTCTTTGTTTGTTTTCTTTTTTTAAAGAAATTACTGTTGAAACATTGCTTTTAAAATATAGTATCTGTACTTCTAATTCTTGGGTCCTGAATTATTAAATAACTGGAGGATTTTGTTGTTAACTATAAAGATGGTTTTGATTTTGACCACTGAGTCTACTGAATTTTGTCATCTAAAGAAAGAGGTGTACTCATTACTTTACTCATATAACTGTAACCCCGCTGAACACTATTTTTACCATAAAAAACATTAAAAAAAGAGGTGCTATAATATAGGTGGTGTACAGTACATGTATTTAACTTTCATCCAAAGTTTTAGCCCTCCTTCCCCTCAGTATTACAGAGTCTTTTAGACCTTTATAATAGAATGGGGTCTGCAATTTAGTATGAAATACTATTGACTTACTGTATATTAAGTTGAAGTTGAGAAGGGGTTCTACTTTGTCATATTTCTGTCATCTGACTACTTCTATGGTATATTGCAACCTCAGATATATCAGAGATTCTATGTTATATTCCAGTCTCAGATATTTGGGAGGTTTTGAAAATTAGTCATCCTCTTTTGCTGAAACATAGATGGAATAGATCCTATTTGTTTCTCAGTGACAAGGGGCCCTATCTGAAAAACATGCTACCATATAAATGCATCATACTGCATAGCTCTATGAAGATAGGTATTTCATGTTAAAGTTTTTAATGGAACATAATGGTTTCTTTTAAATAGTAAATTGTTAGGCCATATATGTGAAATATGTTGGCCTATTTTAAAAGAAATGCATATCTGAGAGATGAGAGATCCCATCAAAATGGAAAGAATTTGAGATTTTTTTAAATTAATAAACTGTAGCTGAATAAGACTATACATTAGTAATAAGGCACTTATGTAACCCATAGACACATCTGATATCCACCTTTGTCCCCAGAATGTACTGCAATCAATAAAATACAAACCTTTACATACCCAAGCTAAAATTTTGCTAAAGTTTAATCTAAGTCACATATTGTGATACTATGCAGCTATTTTTTGAGTATTTTTGCACTTTTGAATATATAAAACAGATAAAAATAAGATAGCCATGTCTGGCTAGAATGAAGGAGGTATTTCTCCCTGGTGCAAGATTTTTTGGAAGTCTTAAGTTTAAGGGTAGTAAATTGAATTTTCATATTCTACTTGTCACTGGCAAAGAAAACAACGAAATAGAGGCAGATGATTTTGAGTATGAGTTTCTAAAAGGTTTACTGTTTTCATGTTTATGTTACTAATGTAATATGTTCAATTCTTATTAAATTATTATTCTATTATAAAATAACAAAATAGCTGATAATAGCAAATCTAATTTAGCAAGTAATGGATATATTATGAGCAATATTGTTTATTTTAAAGAAAAATCAATGCATAAGTTTCCGTAAAAAGTTTTTCATGGCCAGGCGCTGGTAGCTCATGCCTGTAATCCTAGCTACTCAGGAGGCTGAGATCTAAGGATCACGGTTCAAAGCCAGCCTGGGTAGAAAGTCCATGAGACTCTTATCTCCAGAAAACTGGAAGTGGCGCTGTGGCTCAAGTGGTAGAGTACTTGCCTTGAGCTGAAGAGCTGAGGGACAGTGTCCAGGCCCAAAGTTCAAGACCCACAACCAACAAAAAAACAAAGTGTTTCATGCTCTTTAGTGTACTTAAAATGTTAGGTTCAGCCAGGTGCCGGTGGCTCATGCCTGTAATCCTAGCTACTCAGGAGGCTGAGATCTGAGGATCACAGTTCAAAGCCAGTCCAGGCAGGAAACTCCATGAGACTCTTATCTCCAATAAACCACTAGAAAACCAGAAGTGGTGCTGTGGCTCAAACGGTAGAGCACTCGCCTTGAGCTGAAGAGCACAGGGACAGTGCCCAAGCCCAGAGTTCAAGCCCCACAACTGACAAAAAAAAAAAAGTTAGGTTCAAAGGACAAGGTAAATATTTCATAAAGAGCACTTTTATTCTCCAATCATTCAAGAAAGATGTAGTAATGCTTTGTGTTTATTTTAGGCCTCAGACGTATGTGGATCATATGGATGGATCTTACTCACTTTCTGCATTACCGTTTAGTCAGATGAGTGAGCTTCTAACTAGAGCTGAGGAACGGGTCTTAGTCAGACCACATGAACCACCTCCACCTCCACCAATGCATGGAGCTGGAGATACGAAACCTATACCCACCTGTATCAGGTATGTTGGGACGGGCACATAATGTTTTTGTTTAATCATAGAGGTCGGAAGTCTTTGGTAGTACATATTTTTAGACTTTGTGGGCCTATGCTTTGTGTCACAAGTACTCAATTCTGCTCTTATGTCTTTTTGTAAAACTTCACTTATAGAAACATGGAGCTGGTCACATATGGCCTGTGAGATGTAATTTGCCATCCCTTAACTACTTAAGGGACACATTTTCCTATAGAAATTTAGCTAATAGGATATACTGTAAATGAGAAGCTGTTGCCATTTTGATTATTGCTTTGTTATCAGGTATACTATGTACAGCATATTACAAATGTTATAGAATGTGATGAAGGGTCTCAGAAGTGGGAGCCATAGATATGGTTATGAATATTAATTTGATATTGAAAATAATACTTTAAGAATTTCAGACAATAAGCAGTTACTTATAATAATCTTTTAGTAAATGCTATTTTGGAGTTTTACTGTGGTCAGTTATCCATCTTTTATGTTTTTAAAGAGAAATATAAAGAAATTTTCTGGTAGAGAAGTACAGACTAGCTTTACAACTTTCAGTTAAGAAAAAGCAACCTTCTACCACTAATTCATTTAATATTCCAGCCTCAGGAAGAAAGAGGGCTTTAAACTTCCTTTTTGTGGTTTTTAATTAGCTGTCACTGACTTCACTGAAATGACATATGATGAGCCTTAATAGCTGCAATATAAATACAGTTTTGTTATTAGCCAAGTGTGGCTACCCATATTGCAATATGATAGCACTGAGTCATTACGGAGGCTTCTATTGCAGTGTAGAATCAAGCATTTATTTATCAAAGTAAGCATAAAATATTTGAGTGAATATGAAAGTTGCATGAGAAAAGTAGACTGTTTAGTATATTACAAAGCAAAGCCACCACTCTTTAATTTTCTTGTTGCACTTTTAGTTTTAATTTTTTGAAATAATGTTGAATTTAAATTGTCCACACAGGTGTTAATGCATCTAGTTTGATATAATTACTGATAGTCACTTATAGTTTCTACAGTTGTTTTCTTTTCAGTGTTTCTGTTTTAATAACTTGCTAGTATCTTTTTATCACTTCAGTTCTGCTACAGGTTTGATAGAAAACCGCCCTCAGTCACCAGCTACAGGCAGAACACCTGTGTTTGTGAGCCCCACGCCCCCACCTCCTCCACCACCTCTTCCATCTGCCTTGTCAACTTCTTCATTAAGAGCCTCAATGACTTCAACTCCACCCCCACCTGTTCCTCCCCCACCTCCACCTCCCACCACTGCTTTGCAAGCTCCAGCAGTACCTCCTCCTCCAGCTCCTCTTCAGATTGCCCCTGGAGTTCTCCATCCAGCTCCTCCACCAATTGCACCTCCTCTAGTACAGCCCTCTCCTCCAGTAGCTAGAGCTGCCCCAGTATGTGAGACTGTACCAGTGCATCCACTCCCACAAGGCGAAGTCCAGGGGCTGCCTCCACCCCCACCACCTCCTCCTCTGCCTCCTCCTGGCATCCGACCATCATCACCAGTCACAGTTGCAGCTCTTGCTCATCCTCCCTCTGGGCTACATCCAACTCCATCCACTGCCCCAGGTCCCCATGTTCCATTAATGCCTCCATCTCCTCCATCACAAGTTATACCTGCTTCTGAGCCAAAGCGTCATCCATCAACCCTACCTGTAATCAGTGATGCCAGGAGCGTACTGCTAGAAGCAATACGAAAAGGTAAGTTCCTTAGGGCCATGGAAAGAACTGTCATGGTGTCATTAGAAAACATCTAAGAAATAGACTGTAATGTATTCCTTATTTATAAAGTCTTAGGTAGTGATGTTTTGTACAAATGGCGGTGTTTGGGGTTTTTATTAGTAACAAAAGAAAAACTTTTCATGTTAATTCAATCAAAATTTTCCTAAACTGCTCCTATATTCCAAGTACCAATGATGTAAAATGAATAATAGTACCTTCAAGTACAAAGTACTACAAGTACAAATCCCAGAAAATACATCCGTTAATGTTTAATTTATTTGACCATAGAGGTAACAGAAGAAATATGTCACCTGGTTAACTTCCTTGAGCCTTGGGGGTAAGGGGTGGGCAGGGGAGATGATGTTAAGTAGATACATAGACCATGATAGATAAATAAGTTGGAGATAGCTACTAAGATTATCTAGTAAGTTTCCCCAACAAATTCACAAATGATAATGTAATGAAAGATTTAATGACTCACAATATTGTTTCTTCAAAATTCCTTTTATTAGAGCTTGCTTTTATTTTCCTATTAGTATTTTTCATATGTATTTGATTTGGTACAGAAAATATTAGTAAGTATGTAGCATTTTGACTTAAAATGGTTTGGATTTACAACATTAGGTATTCAGCTACGCAAAGTAGAAGAGCAGCGTGAACAGGAAGCTAAGCATGAACGCATTGAAAATGACGTAGCCACCATCCTGTCTCGCCGTATTGCTGTGGAATATAGTGATTCAGAAGATGATTCAGAATTTGATGAAGTAGACTGGTTGGAGTAAGAAAAATGCATTGCTAAGTATTACAAAACTGAATGCAAATGTCCTTTGTGGTGCTTGTTCTTTGAAAATGTTTGGTCATTCTAGTGTTTTGCTTTTTATTCCTTATAATAAATAACCCTTTCCTCCATAATTTTTGATTTCTAAGAAAAGTATTAGCCTACTTTTCAAAGTAAATATTTTACAGTGGCTTATTTTTTTCCCTGATAAAATTAATTTGATCCAGTAATAAACCACTAAGTATTAAGCATGGACAGCTGTTAGAATAGCACATTCAGTTTTTTTTTTTTATATATCTTAATTGTGCACTTTGTGACCTTTAATTTAAAGAAAGCAACTGAGATGATATCTTGAGGGCAGCTGTATCTATTAATGAGCCTTATTCAATTTCTTGATGTTTTAAAAGAAGAAACACTGCCTTGACTATAGGAAAACATTCAGAAAGTACATTTAGCTTGTAGTGTTGAATTCTCTTAAAGGAATGCTTAAATTTTTTTGTTACTATTTTATTGTTTTAAATACTTGCCTTATTTGAATGTTTAGCAGTACCTCTTTCCCACTTATATATTGTGTGGTACAATTTTGCTTGCCTATAGGAGTTTAAAATTTTTCCATGTAAAACTCTGAATTAAACATACATGTAACTTACATAACTGTTAAGAATAACAGTCTGATTTAATAAATGGTTCATTTTAAAGGTTCATGGCTATTGCTCTTTGAGTTTATAAAATAGACTACAAATACCCGATAGTAATGAAAGTTTAGGAAACACTTCAACTACATAGTTTTCCCATTGTTCTAATAATCATACTGCCTCGTATGTCACTTTTTCTCCAATGTTCCAAAATCTACATTTCTCTAGTCCTTGTGATTAACCTCAACTTCTCATCTAATTTCAGCATGTCTTGTTTTAGTTTAACATTGTTAAACTAAGATAAAAGCAGTCATTTGTGTTTACATAGTCAGATTTGGGGGTAAAGGGGATACATATCAATATAGACTTTTAAGAAGATTTAATGAGCAAGGCACACACTTGTAATCCCAACACTCAGGAAATTGAGTCAGGAATATGGTATTCTGGAGGCAACGCTGTGCCTAAAGAATAAAAATAAGAGACAAGTGACTACCATCTTCAGTTTGCTTGTATATACCCCTTTCTGCAATGTAGTTTATAACTCTTCCCATCAAGAGTTCTGTTCTCTCCCTTGAATCTGGGAGTCTGTAGGACTTGAGTTGGCCAAGAATCCTAAAAGTGATGTGCAAATTCTGAACCTAGACCTCAACTCAAGAGTCCTTGTAAAGTTCACTTTGCTCTCTCTTAGAACCTTTTTCTTGGCCTTAACAAATCCAAGCTAGCCTTCTGAATCAGAAACCTGTAGAGGGAAATTATTTCAGGAAAGACCATCTTAAACCAGCCAAACCCTCACTTAGCTGTTGACTGATCATAGACAGGCAAGCAAGCCTGGCCACTGATTCATAAGGTCATGAACAAAAATAAATGCTTATTGCCTTAGACCTAAGATTTGAGGTAAATTATTGTATTTAGCATTATTTGGGCAATAGATGATGGGCAATAGATACATGAGGTCACTTGGTAACTTGATTGAGATTTATTTAAGCAAATAACCAGTGATCTTTGCAGAGTATAGATAATGAACCATGTTCAGTTATAACAATTCAATTTGGATATGAAAATATTTCCTACTGGTTTTAAGAAATAAAAAAATGTGATTTGTTCTTTTGGGTAGCTTAGCTTTAGAATAAGAACTTAAGATACCCACTGTAAAGTCCCCTCCTGGATGGCTAGCAGACTCCACCCTCCTTGCAGCAAAGTCTCCACCCAGTATCTGGGTTACCTAGGCAACTGGGACACCTGGAAGAGGTCACATGTGCATGCGCTGAGGTCACATCTGAATTTGATGTGGCCACACCTTACTCCGCCCATACCCTAGATAAGGCCTAGCCCAGCCCCAGAGCTCTCTCTGCTCTTTTCTAGCTCTTTCTCAGCTCTTTCCTTCTCTTCTCTTTCCCAGCTCCCTTCTCTTTCCTAGCTCTCTCTTTCCCACCTTTCCCAGATGCTCTCTTTCCTAGCTCTTTTCTCTCTTTTCTGGCTCTTTTCTCTCTTTTTCCCAGCTCTCTCTTTTCTTTCCCAGCTCTCTCTTCTCTTTTCTAGCTCTTTCTCAGCTCTTTCCCACCTCTTTCCCAGGTCTTTTGCCAGCCGCGTGGAGTGCCAACCTTGCCTGGTCCCAGCAGGTCTACTGAATAAACCTACCCCTTACCTGAATACCACGTGCATGGTGCTATTCTTACTCGGCTGTCTCTTTTTAAAAACCTACCATCCACTTAAGGTTCTTTTTCAGCCTTATAAAAAGGGAGTATCAAATTTAACAGGAAAATATGACAGTTTAAAGTCTGTCATCTAAGTGTGCTTATGTTTAAAAACAGCAAGTATATATTTTTATAAATCTGAACTATGACTAGATAATATAATCATTACTAGCATTGGAGCAGTAAAGGGTTGTACAAAAGGAATTGGTTATATTGATCAGTATATTTTTACATTTCTTTTAGCATATATTGGTTGTACAAGGGAGTTTCATTGTGATTTTTCCATACACCATAATATTGTCCCTGTTTAAGTTCACTCGATTTCTCCATTCCCCTCCCCCTTTTAAAGCAATATCACTGTTCTGTTTTCTTTTGTGTATATAAAATGCTTCAGCCCTTTTTTCCCTCCATTTTCATTTGAGTCTAGGAATTTTTAAAATTCATCCTAATTTCTTGAGTGACCTGCTCATCATTCAAAAGTGTATTATTCAATCCCCATATGTTTGAATGGTTTTATAGTTTTCTTTGCTATTGCTTTCTAATAATTATTCCATTGTAGTCTATTAGGATACAGAGCACTATTGAGCTTTTAGGTATTTGTGGAAAGTTACTTCATTGCCTAAAATACTAGAAAGTTCTGTTCACTACTAAGAAGAATTTGTAATGTTACAGTGTGAAATATTCTGTTAAGTCCATTTCATCAATGTTGTTGCTTTTCAGTACCTTTTAAAACTTTCTTTTGTCTCATTTCTATTGATGAGAATTGTTTGTTGAAGTTGCCTACTACTATTGTATGTGGATCTATCCTTTTATGTTTGGTAATGTTTGTTTTTATGAACATGCACATTTGGTATATATATATATATATATAGATAGATAGATATATATATATATAGTTAGAATTGTAATATCTTCTTGATGAATTGTCATTGTCATTAATATGTAGTGTACTATATATCTTTCTGACTAGTTTCTGCTTGAAATTTGTTTTGTCAGATTTAAGTTTAGTTGCTCCTATTTGTTTTTTGTTGTTTTTGTTTGTTTTGCCAGTCCTGGAGCTTGAACTCAGGGCCTGGGCACTGTACCTGAGCTTCTTTTTGCTCAAGGCTAGCACTCTACCACTTGAGCCATAACTCCACTTCCAGCTTTTTCTGTTTATGTGGTACTGAGGAATCGAATCCAGGGCTTCATGCATACAAGGTAAGCACCCTACCACCGAGCCATATTCCCAGCTCTCTTACTTGTTTTTTACTTCTGCTTGCTTCGTATGTCTTTTTCCATTCTTTCACTTTTTGTCTATGTGTATGTGGTTGTGAGGTATGTTTCTTACACACAAGAAATTGTGTTCTCCTTTTTAATCTAATATGGCAATCTATATTTCAGTTGGGTAGAAAACATGCCACTTTTAGAGTACATACCTTGCTATCCACATGGCATCCAGTCACTGTTCTAACGAGTCATGTACCTGGAATGATTTCACCCAACCTGCAGGTTGGGCCAGGTAGTGGGCTCTTACGTAGCCCTCTTCACTGAAAGGCTCTTGTGGGTAGTTGAATTCATGTCTCTATTCTGACCTCAAGGATGAGGTCAGTCACAGAGAAGTCTGCGTGCCCTTTGTCTCTACATGCCTTTTGGCATGGGCTGGAAAGTAGAAAACTTCATAAGCAGTAGAACATAGATCTGCTCATCAACTGGATGAAGCGATGCCTGCATTTACTAGCTTCCCTGTCAGTCTTGCCCCAGGCAGAGGAATACAGGCACAAGTCAGTTTCTGTCCTGTAGCCTGGGCCCAGCTTTCTGATTTCCATGAAGTTATATACTGTGGTCTGCACAGGTTCTTGTCACAAACAGGGAAAACCAACCACCGTATCCTTCCAGCCCGTAGTGGGAGCTCCTTTCTCCCTTCCACAAGGCCATTTCAGACTCTATCCTGTTTCTTTCGGAGATTTCAAGTCATGTTTTGTGTGTATGTATGTTGTTTTGTTTTGGTTTTTCTCTAGCTACTCTCTGTCTAGAGTTCTACCTAGCTCACTAAGTTGCCCAACTTTTCTTTATTTTATTTTATTTTATTGTCAGTCGTGGGGCTTGAATTCTGGGACTGGGCGCCCTCCCTGAGCTCTTCAGATCAAGGTGAGCACTTTACCACTTGAGCCACAATGCCACTTCCGGTTTTTTGGAGCTAAGAGTCTCATGAACTTTCGTGCCCAGGCTGGTTTTGAACTACAATCCTCACATCTCAGCCTTCTTAGTAGGTAGGATTACAGGCATGAGCCACCAGTGCCCAGCAAAGATGTTTTTGTTTCTGTTTTTCTTTTTGATTTTTTTTGTCAGTCGTGGGTCTTGAACTCTGGGCCTGGGCACTGTCCCTGAGCTCTTCACCTCAAGGTGAACACTCTACCACTTGAGCCACAGGGCCACTTGCCCAACTTTTTTTTTTTTTTTGGGGGGGGGGGTCCGGTCGTGGGGCCTGAACTCTGGGCCTGGGCGCTGTCCCTCAACTCTTCAGCTCAAGGCTAGTGCTCTACCACTTGAGCCACAGCGCTACTTCCGGCTTTTTGCTTATGTGGTGCTGAGGAATCGAACCCAGGGCCTCAGGTATGCAAGGCAAGTGCTCTACCACTGAGCTACCTTCCAAGCCCCATGCTCAACTTTTCTTGAAGCCACATATCTGCAGTTTTATTTCTGACCCATGGAAACTGAAAAGTGGTATGAGTCGATAGCCCACCATCTTCACAGAGCCTCTTTCTCCAAAACTCTTTCTCTGTTCTCCAAAACATTCCTGGAACTTAAAATGTCTGCAGATTATAGAATCCAGATATGTAGTGTTCATTTTAAAATCAAAACAACCAATCTGGATTTGGTGATGCCTATAATCCTAGCTACTCAGGAGGCAGAGGTAAGAGGATTATGGTGTGAAGCCTAAGCTAAGAGCAAAAAGCAAAAAGAACTGTGGGTGCATCTCAACTGGCAGAGTACTTGCCAAACAAGCATAACCTTTTAGTCTAGATATGTGCTTTAACTTGTTTCAAGAATTTGAGGACAATTTTTAAATCACTTAAGGGTCAGTTTTATTACCATCAATGAAAATTATGATAATAACTGAATGAAAGTTACTAGGTAATGACTGCCTTATTACTGAATCATCTTACTATTCAACAAGATTACGCACCAATATCGTGTTGGAAAAAGAATAGATTGTATGCCATGCAGAAGTTTTTGGCCATTCAGAAAGTTGGCCTTTGTTTGAGGTCATTCATTTACCTTTTCAATCCCAAATCCAGTGAACCCTTTTTAGTTTTTAATTAGTCTAGTTTTTACTCTTTGTTCTGCCTCCTTGAAACT